GGTGGAGTCCCCACCCCTGGAGGGGTTTCCAAGCCGTGGAGATGTGGGGTGAGGGACACGGGGCAGTGGGGACCTGCCAGGGCTGGGGACAGTTGGACTCTGTGATGTTAAAGGTCTGTTCCAAGCCAGACGATTCTGTGATGCTCTGAAGATGTGTGTGGTGGGACGTTGCTGTGGCAGGTGAGCGTTGGTGCCACCTCACAGGGAGGAAAGTGAGCTGTGAGACATTAATTAACTGCCTGATGTCTTGTGGCAGAAAATGGCTTTTCCTGCTGGCTTTCCTGGAAGGGCATTGCCTGGACAGTGTGCTGCAGGAAGAGGTGCCTGGGCAAGTTGGTGTGTGTGGATGTGAAGGCCCCTGTTGGCCAGGGCAGGGCATGTGAGGGCACTCCTGGTGTAAAGTTGGGCAGAAACTGAGGGAGAGGGGAAGAGTGGGGGGTTTCATCTCTTGCTTCAAGCACCTTCATCCTCTGCCAGCTCTCTCCCCAGCAGGGAGCTGGGAGTGTCTGAGCTGGCTCTGCAAGCTGAGCATGGTCCTGCTGGGGAGTTCCTTGTAGCCTTCTCTTTCCTGGGAGGCAGAGAAGACTGGTAGCAGCTCATGTGCTGTCAAAGGAGTTCTCTGAAATCCGTGTGAATTCAGGATTGTCTCCTCCTGAAAGGCTTCCAGTGGCTCCTCTGAGCACGAGGGTGAGCTGGGCAGAGGCACGAGAGGGATGAGCTTGTCCAGCAGTTGTCAGGGGCATCTGAGGAGCAGCCCCTCGAAAAGGGGCCGGGGGGCTGGCAGGGGGAGGAGCAGGTGCTGTCAGCATTGTGCTGTCCTCTTCGTGTGCCTCAGGCTAGAAGTTCCAGGTGGGACAGACCTTCACCTTGCTCTGGGACAGGTGGAGTTTTTTCCCCTGACAAAGCAGCAGGTTACATCCTTCCTGCCTGTCTGTCACCCTGGTAAGGTTTTGGTGGGTGGAATGAGGTGTTGGAGCTTTGTGAGTCCAGCTGGGCACACAGCTCTGCACAGCTTGTGTTTCCCATGGTGTTCTTCAAAACTCCCCTTAAAAAAGAGTTTGAAGCTCTTGCCTGTGGCTGTTTGATGTCCCTCTTGCCCTTTTCTGCAGAACAGTGAAGGGATGGTGTCCATCATCCCATCCACATACCCATCGTTGTCTCTTCCTACTCCCCCTTCCTCCCTTGGAGCAAATCCTCTGTGCATTACAGACCTGTAGGACCTGGACCAGCCCTGACAGAGAAGCAGCTGTGGTGTCAGTGCAGTCACAGGGAGCACAGGCCTGTGTGTGGCAGTGGTTTTAGGGACTGCAGCATGACAGCCTCTGGGTGAGACAAAAGGAAGGTGAGGAAGAGGAAGGGATTTGAGGGCAATAAACCCAGTTTGGTTTGTTTGGGTTTTGTTATTGTTTTCCCCTGCTGGAGGGTCCCTGTGACAGAGCTGCTGGTTGTGCCCCCCAGGCATGTGAAGGTCAGGCTGGGTGTTTCCTCGGGGGTTGTGTGTGCAGGGGAGGAGGCAGGGCTGAGGCAGGGCAGGTGCTGCTGGCAGTGCCAGTGCCTGGGGCCGTGTCTGTGCCCAGAGCAGGAGCTTGCTCCAGCCCAAGCCCCCCTGGCTCGCTCAGTCTGCCCCTTCTCCCCCCTCTCTCTGTCTCCCCAGCCCTGGCTGCAGAGCTGCAGCGTGGAGCTGGGCAGGCAGGAGGTCCCAGGGTGGTTCTGCCAGCCCTGCTGGGGGAGTTGGGGTGATCATCACCACGTCGTTACCTCAGAGCTCTCCCAGACCAGACCCCGAGTTCTGTGTGGGTTTCCAGCAGTGTCATGTGTGCAGGGAGTTAAGGAGAATGGGCTGAAGCTGAGTATAACAATGGGATTATAGCAGAGCTGATATTCTAATCCAGCCAAGCTGCTGCTCCCTTTAGAGTGGATTTTCCTCTCACAGCCCTCGTGCTCAGGCTGGGCTGGGGTACCCGGGGTGCTGGCAGGGCCTGGGGAAGCCCCAAAGCCCATTCCAGATTTGCTGCCAGTAGTGGTGTCTGGGCTCTGGTGTGTGTTGGACACCCCTGAGTGAACCTTCCAGCCTGACCCCTCTCCCTGCAGAAGGGGTGACAGCTTTGGTGTCGTGTGGCTGAGCTGCGTGGTGGCCCAGAGGGGAGGGGAGAGGAGAGCAGAGGAGGAGGGGGTGGTGCTGTCAGTGGATGTTTTGGTGTCAGACCGTACCTGGTGCCAGCTGCAGGTAGCAGGGGGTGAGCATCAGCTCCTGCTGAGCAGGGCTGGCAGAGCTCCAGCACCAGCCAGGTCTGCATCCCTCCTCTAGGCACCCGTGGTGTTTGCCAGCCCACAGCTGTAGGTGGGTGGGAGTGGAGCAGTCAGCTGCCAGTGAACGTGGCACACACAAGTGCAGTTTCCTTGGGGATTTTTCCTGGTGGCAGATGGAGAGGCAGAGCCAGCCAGGGTGGACTCTGAGCCGGGGGGTGGCACAGGAACAGCTTTGCTGGATCTCATCAGCCTGAGCCCGGCTGCCCAGCCCTGCTCCTCGCTGGGGTGGGGGCTCCTGGTGCTGCTGCCCACCCCCAGTGCTGTTCCCATGCTTCTGCTGGATTCTAACCTTCCTCCTCCCTGCAGGAAGGGCTGAGGTACACGCTGCTCTGGCTGTTCCTGCTGCCTGGGTCAGACTCCTTCTACGTGCCTGGTGTGGCTCCCATCAACTTCCACCGCAACGATCCTGTGGAAATAAAGGTAGGGTGGCCTTGGGTGGGCCTGCCAGGCTGCTTGGTTGGGCTTTGTTCTTCTTTTTACCTTCTTTATGCCATACCAGCTAAATGGGACGAGGAAGTCAAATTTGTGGATCCTCTTACTAAAATCTTGAGGAGTGTGGGTGTTTTCTCTCTTTCACAGCATTCATGGAGGGTGTTGGGCTGGACTCCCCTTGAGGGGTCACTGGTTATCTTCCCCTGCAGCTCCCAGCATGATTCTCCTTCTTGCTTCTGTTCTCTTCTACCAAATTCCTTCAGCAGTGGCACCAAAGTCCTCAAGGAGTTGCTCTGCCTGGGAGAAGAGCTCCCTTCCCCACTAGAGCTTTGGAGTGAATTTCATCACATTGATCTCCAGCATTATCCTGACTCTTGAGTGCTTATAGAGGGTGGGCCCTTAGCCACAGGAAGGAATTGGTTTGGATCAGACCTTTCCAATTTCCTCTTCCACCCGTTTTGCTCGTGTTGTGTTTTCATGTCAAGTGATATCCCAAATAAGCCCTTTCCAAGTGCAGACATTTGTCCTCAGGCCTTGCAGATGGTAGAGCCCAGGCTCCTGGAGAGCTGTTCCTGGGCACTGGGGGTGGTGGATGGTGGAGCTGCTGCACCCCTGCAGGAGGAAGCCTGGCTTTGTTTCCAGGCATCAGCCATTTATAGCCCATTTCATTTATTTTTCTAAAGCTGTGGCCTCTGTCTCAGCAGAATCCAGCACCCCTGGGGATGCTGAGGTTGGCTGCTCCCACTCGGGTTTCTCTTTGGCCACAGGCTGCCAGACTGAGGCTATTTTTAAGCAAATGAGACTTGCCTGTGGCTACAGTAAAGCTTCCCAGAAGGAGGGGGCATGGGGATGGCTGTTCTCAAAGGGATTTCAGGAGCCAAATGCTTCCTCAAGTGATAAGACAGGCAGCGTGTTTGCCAGTGCTCTTCCAATAGCTGAGCTTGGCTGGGTTAGGAAACACTTCTGTTCTTTGGAGCAGGGGCTGTCTGGTGTCTCTGCACTTCCCTTGTGCCATGGGACTCGTGGGAGCTCTCCAGAGACACTTGGGGTTTGTCACCATCCCTTGTCTTCCCAATCTGATGGCCCTGGCTTTCCTTACAGAGATAAAATTGCTGAACCCTTCATAGCACCAGAGGCCAGACCTCTAGGCCCAGTGTGACAGGATTTATTTGATTTTGGAGGAAATATCTGCAGTCTTGTGTGAAATGTGACTCTTGAACCTCTTTTCGAGTTCTTTGTCATTTCTTAGAATTCACCAAGTCATAAATTTGTGTAACCAATCCACCACATTTCTTTCTTGGAGTGTTTCTCTGGTTGTGAATTAACTGCTGCTGAATAACAGGGTAGAGAGTGTAGAACTAGGAACTGCAGAAGGGAAGAAAGCTGAAGCTCTCCTGGGGACATCTGCCTCCTTTTTCACAGCTTCCAAAAATGACTTTTATAGGAGGTGTCCTGAAGTAAGCTTCAGCCCCTGGCGTATGTTGTGAGGGTGGGGAGCTGTCTGGGTCCTTCCAGGGGGGTTGATCCTTCTCTCCTCCTGCAGGCTGTGAAGCTCACCAGCTCCAGAACGCAGCTGCCCTACGAGTACTACTCCCTGCCCTTCTGCCAGCCCACCAAGATCACCTACAAGGCTGAGAACCTCGGTAGGTGTGGCCCTGGCCAGAGTTGGGGCTGTTTACTGGGGGAGGGCAATTGCAAGTGTCATCCCTAATGGCCCTTTTGTGGAGAACCTGCTTCCCCTCAATTGTGTGCTGGCTGTTTGCCAAGGAGGATGTCCGTGTGGGGATGAAAATGCCTTTCCTGATGGAGGATGTGTTATCTTCATAAGCAGAGCTTGATGCTTCCAGCAAAATAGCAAAACTGTCCTTTGATTTTATCCTTGCATCTGTGGTAACAAGGGGATTCAGAATCACAGAACCTTTTTGGCTGGAAGAAACCTTCAAGATCGAGTCCAGCACGGCCAGGTCACCACTAAGCCATGTCCCTCAGCACCACATCTACAAATCTTCAATCCCTGCAGGGATGGTGACTCCAGCACCTCCCTGGGCAGCCTGGCACAGCCCTGGACAGCCCTTTCAGTGGAGAAGTCTTTGCAGATCTCTGCCCTCAGCTTGCTGTTGCCACTCCAGCTGTACAGCCCTGCCCGCCCAGAGGCAGTTTTTAACCTGCCCTTTATTCCCCTGTGTTCCAGGCGAGGTTCTGCGGGGGGACCGAATTGTGAACACACCTTTCCAGGTTTCCATGAACGTGGAGAAGAAATGTGAAGTCCTGTGCAACCTTCCCAACAAGCCAGTCACCCTGACAGTGGAGCAGAGCAAGCTGGTGGCCGAGCGCATCAGGGAGGATTACTACGTCCATCTGTGAGTCAGAGGGAGCCTGGGGTTGTGTCGCTGGGGACCCCGTGCTGGGCATGGGTTTGATCTGAAATCTGTGTTTTCAGCATTGCTGATAACCTCCCTGTGGCAACACGGCTGGAGTTTTATTCCAATCGTGAGGAAGAGGAGAAGAAGAAGGAGAAGGATGTGCAGTTTGAGCACGGCTACAGGCTCGGCTTCATGGATGGTAACAAGGTAGAGAACCCAGATGCTGTCTGAGGGGTGCCCAGAGGAGCTCTGGGTGTCTGCCACAGGGTCTGCCAGAGAGTGCTGGGGTTGGGAATGCACCCTCCTGGATGCCTTCCTGTGGGATGTACTCTAGGTGGTCCTGCTCTGGCTGGGGGATTGGACTAGATGATCTTTCAAGGTCCCTTCCAACCCCTATGATTCTATGATTCTATGATTCTATGATTCTATGATTCTATGATTCTATGATTCGGTTTCACAGGGTGGGAATATGAGGGAGAGGCCTCTTGGAAGAAAAGGGTGGGTGCTGGTGACAGCCAGGAGTCCAAGCTTTGGCCTCTTGTGACACTGCCCAGACTCGTGCAGCTTCCCCTCAGCAGAACAAGGGCAGTGTACCCCAAAGGGTGGCTCATCTCTGGCTGCCTTGGAGCATCCTGGAGTTAAAAAAAGTCAAGTATTTATTGCAGGAAAAGCTGCTGAAGTCTGCAAAGGGAAACTTAGCATGTGTGTTCCTGCAGACACTGCCCATGCTTGCGTGACCCAGGATTAGCTGTGTGACTACAGCTCTGCTGACTCCAGCCTGAGTCCTCACGGGTGGATGGACCTGCTGGGCCAGCCTGGGGCCCGTGGGGAGATGTAAGAGCCTTTGGAAAGTGCAGGCTTAGGGCAGCCCTGCCCCCCAGAGCCTGGGTTGTGTCTGTCCACCTGGCAGAAAGCACAGGCAGGAAACTGGGGGTTAGAGCTACTGAGGTCTTCCCAACCTAAACTGGGTGATTCTGCTGCCACATGCTTGAGATGTGAAGTATAATGATATCTCCCAGGCCAGAAATAGAAACGTTGTCTCTGATGCCTGGAGGGCTTGAGGTGTTGCCTTTTCAACACCTCTGTTCTTTCCTCTCATTCTTTTAGCCTTGGAAAGTGTTCACCTGATCTTGCTCTGTAGCACAAGGCACCTGGGAACAGTTGGAGTCTCCAGTTTTCTGCACTGAAGCTGCTTTCTGCAGTTGTTGCTTTTGAACTTGGCTTGTTCCTCCCTTGGGGTGCTAACGTTTTATTTAATGTCAATCTGTTTTAGTTCTACCTGCACAACCACCTCTCCTTCATCCTTTACTACCACAGAGAGGATGTGGAAGAGAGCCAGGAGCCCACCTACAGGGTCGTGCGCTTTGAAGTGGTTCCCCAAAGCATCAAACTGGAAGGTGAGAGACTCTTGGTGGGGGAGCAGAGGAGAGGAATCTCCTGCAGGGCCAGGGGCTGAATGGCAGAGCTGTAGCAGGGTGTCAGTTGTTGCTTCTGTTACCTTCTCGGGGCACAGAAATGAGTGAGTCTGAATTACAAGAACAATAAACCCCTCTGTTATTAAGGAAGTACCAAAAATAGAGAGATGCTTGAAATGCAGTCTGTGGAAAATTGATTAATATAAAAGCATTGGAGTTTGGGAGTTGGGTTTTTTTTGCACTGCATCATCTAGGATGAAGTCTGTGTGGCCTCTGGCTCTTGTTGTGGTCCAGCTCTCCCCCACTGGGATCCTGCACCCTAGACCAGGGGCACACAGAATGTTTGGAGCTGTTCTAGGGGGACTGAATGTTAGAAGTAATGGTTAGGGAGGGAACACTCCTACCTCAGGGAGCCCAGTGTGGAATGGGTGTCTGGGAGGGAAGCTGCTCAGTGCAGGTGCCATCCTGTGCAGCTCTTCTCTGGCAGCAGCAGGCTCTGCAGGACAGGGCTCATTTCTCAGCATGTCCTGGGGAACAGAGCCTTCAGTCATGCTCTAGATCCTTGGCCTGAGAACCTCTGGCTTTTATCCTTCCCATTCAGGAATACTCTGTGCATTAATTTCTGTAAAGTTTCTTAATGGTTCTTCTGATGGGAAGAATAGTTTCTGAAGCTGAGAGGGGAAGGAGAACTTCCCCTGCAGCACTGGAGTGGTCACAGCCCGGGGCCTTGTTTTCCCCTGCAGACCTGAAGGCTGATGAGAAGAGCACGTGCACCCTGCCCGAGGCCACGGGCTCTGCCCCGCAGGAGATCGAGCCCTCCAGGGAGAACCAGCTGCTCTTCACCTACTCTGTCCACTGGGAGGTGAGGGGGTGCTGGGGAGCTGCCCCTGCCTGCCTGGCAGCTGGTGCTCCAAGCCTCTGTCCCAGGGGGGATGTGGAGGACGTTGGGAACGTGCTGGTGTGAGAAGAACCTTCCTGTTCCCTCAGGAGAGTGACATCAAGTGGGCCTCCCGCTGGGACACCTACCTGACCATGAGTGACGTGCAGATCCACTGGTTTTCCATCATTAACTCAGTCGTGGTGGTCTTCTTCCTTTCAGGTGAGTGAGGTGTGTGGGGTGAAGGTGGCTTCACTGTTAGTCCACGGGGAGCTTTCTTCAGGGCTCAGCTGGAGGTGGCTCGAGGAGGACGTGCCCGTGGCTGGACCTGATCAGGAGGGGCAGGAAACCAACATGAGCGTGTAAAACCTCCTGGGTTGGGCAGCACCCCGTGGGCTCAGGCAGTTACTGGCTTTGCTCTCTGACCAGGGGGCACTGAGGGAGTAGAGTGTGGCTAACACACATCTTGCATATCCATATTGAAGGGAAAAAAGGACCCAGGAAAGGCAGAGTGGCCCGTTGCTGCTGGAGTGTGGCCTTGCCTGCCCTGGGGGCTGTTTCTGGCTTGGCTGGGGAAGGTGGCTGATGGCTCAGGGTCCCCTCTCCCAGGCAGGACTGTGTGTTGGTGGAGCTGTGTGGTGGCCCAGCAGCAGGCCCGTGCAGGAGCCCTGAGCTCACCTCACCCTGTGCTTGTTTTCAGGCATTCTCAGCATGATCATCATCCGCACCCTCCGGAAGGACATCGCCAACTACAACAAGGAAGATGACATTGTATGAGTGTGTCCTGGGGCTGCTCAGAGGGGTGGGAAGCACAGAGGAGGAGGGCTCTGGTCAGAAAACCTGGACGTGGTGTCTCTTGCCCTTTTGGCTTGGAGCCCTGAGGATGGGAGGGGCAGTTCTGCCACGACAGCTTGGGCTCTGTGTGGTGGCAGATGGTCGGTTCCAGTCTTCAGACCTAAGGAAGGGCTGCAGACACTGCCCAAAATGTGTGCCCTGGCACTGGCACTTCAGTGTGTTAAGCCCAAGAGGAAAGAAGTTTAACTAGAGAGATGAAATTCTGTAGTAGAAGAACCAGATCTGGCAAATCAGCCTCTAGGCTGGCTGTGGTAGCACCTTAATTTCCAGTGTTGGACTGTATCTAACTAACTTTCTTCTCCTGTTGTTGCTGCAGGAAGATACCATGGAGGAATCTGGCTGGAAACTTGTGCATGGAGATGTCTTCAGGCCTCCACAGTATCCTATGATCCTCAGCTCTCTCCTGGGTTCTGGAATTCAGCTCTTCTGCATGATCCTGATTGTCATCTGTAAGTGGCACACGTGGCATGGGGTGGCTGTCAGAGGAGGAGGGATGCTCAGGGGTGCTGGTGGCTCCTGGTGACTTCATCCCCTGCTCACTTTGGCTTGAATGAGGCCCCATAAGGCAGCTCCCTGCTGCAGGGCTGGTCTGGGGGACAGCCTGTGCCCAGAGTTTTGGAGTTCCTGGAGAGTGTTTCCCAGCTGAAGCATTGTTTTTGGATTATGTTTCCTGTGGTTGAGGTGTGGTTAAGCACCAGGACAGGTGAGGGGTTCACCTCCTGGGAAGCAGCTCCATGGAGAAGGACCTGGGAGTGCTTGGGAACAAGTTCATCATGAGCCAGCAACGGGTCTTCATGGCCAAGAAGGCAAATCATCTCTTGGGGAGCCTGAAGAATGTGTCCAGCAGGTCGAGGGAGGTTCTCTTCCCCCTCTGCTGTGCCCTAGTGAGGCCACCCCTGGAGTATTTGGTCCAGTGCTGGGCTCCCCACTTCAAGAGAGACAAGGAACTGCTGGAGAGAGTCCAGCAGAAGCTAAAAAGGTGTTGAGGGGGCTGGAGCATCTCTGTGCTGAGGAAAGGCTGAATCCTGGGGCTGTTGAGCATGGAGGAGATGCAGAGGGGATCTGATCAATGCTGATGAGGAGCTAAAGGGCCCCTGGAGGACAAGGGGCTGGGGCCAGACTCTGGTCAGTGGTGCCCAGAGACAGGACAAGGGGCAACGGGCACCAACTGGAACCCAGGAGGTTCCATCTGAGCAGGAGGAGAAACTTCTTTGGGGTGAGGGTGCAGAGCCTGGAGCAGCTGCCCAGAGAGGCTGTGGAGTCTCCTGCTCTGGAGAGATCCCAAACCCTCCTGGCTGTGACCCTGGGCACCCTGCTGTGGGGGAGCTGCTGGAGCAGGGGGTTGGAGGAGATGATCTCCAGAGGTCCCTTCCAACCCCACCACGCTGGGAGTCTGGGATGTGAGCCCTGGGTGCCAGTGGGCTGAGAGACTTTTGCAGATGTGTGCAGAAGTCTCCTCCTGAGCTGCACCTGCTCAAACCCTGGGGGAGTCTGAGGCTCAAGCATGGTCTGTAGCCTCAGGTCCAAGCTGGGGCTTCCTCTCTGCCCGGCGTTGGGGGCTGTGGGGGGGTGGTGCTCTGAAGGCAGCCAGGTCTTTTTTTTTTCCAGGCAGCCGTGGGCCAGGCCCCTGCTCTGCAGATGTTGGCTGGCACCTCCCTCAGAGCTGCTCGTGGTGTGTTTGGTTCCCTCTGCAGTCGTGGCCATGCTGGGGATGCTGTCGCCCTCCAGCCGGGGCGCGCTGATGACCACTGCCTGCTTCCTCTTCATGTTCATGGGGTAGGTGTCCCGGTGCCCCCGCAGCAGCACTGCCCCCCCTGCCCCTC